CCCCTCCTTTTGCATGCTGAACAAGCTGAACCACAAAAGTAGCTGCCGCCATTTCCCTGAGGATCCCAAGAAATTTGCTCTGGTCCTCTTCTAGTCTGAACTCTTCTGTCTTGACAAGACCTCTAAACTCTGTTGGCAATGCAATTGCTGACAGCCTTGTTTATGAGCATTAACAGAGCTCTGTCTCCAGTGCAAACAGGTTTATTGCTAGATCCTTAGATTATACTGATTTTTTTCGTGGTACATCCCATTACTGATTTACAGCTATGGATGGATTCCTAACAAGCCTAGATTTTGCTTCTTTTTTCTTTTCTTTTTTTCCCCCTTCATTTATTGCTTCCAGTGAGGGAGCCCACAGCATATTTTTATCACTGCCAAAATGGAAAATCTGGTGCGATTCAATCCTGCTCCTATTTTCCACCAGTCCTCTAGAGAGTCAAAGTCATCTGGTCTGATATTCTGATTCACCTCAACTTTGCATCATCTCTGAATTTCCTTCAGAATCAGCTTCTCTTGCTATGTTTCAACTTGTCTGTGGTACAAGAAAACAAATAGATTGTTGGTTGATCTGTGGCAGAATTTTGTAAATAATGATTGTTTATGCCAGTAACACATATGCCATGGAAAACACAAAACATTTGTTAAATATATAAAATGAAAGCAAGAATCTGAAAGATGCCAGCCCAGAAAAATGTGAAAATAAAGAAGATCTACAGATACTTGTGGATATGATCTGAGCCACTGGGTTTGAAGCACTGTGACTTTGGGTTGCATACAAGGAGCTGCCGCGCTGTGGAGCGGTGATTCCATTGCCTCCCAGTAGCTTTGCAGAAATTGTACTCGGATTGCTGTCTTCCTTTCTGGACATCATCATAAAAACCACTAAAGAAAACAGCAAAGAGGACAAGTATCAATGGTTTTCTCAATGTGACTTTTAGTTTTACTGGAAAATGTACTGTGTTTGATTAAGTTGCCTCCAAATGTGAAAGTCGTTTCTTTGTTCACCTTTCAGGGTGTGGATGCAATTCAAGCATATATTCCTGATGCAGTATGGTATGAGTACGATACGGTAAGTAAATGCAGAGAATACTATGGGGAGATTTTATAAATGGCTATGTGATGAAATAAGATTATCAGCCCTGCTTTGGTGACAGAGACCTAAAGCAAAGCCCGAAGGAAGGAAATGGTGAGACTAAGGATGAAGGGTGTTGGGGTAAGCACATGAATCAACACCTCAAGAAAGGACACGGAAGCACGAAATATAGCACAGGAGATGGGAGGAGAGATTGAGTGGAAACTTTAGCTAAGACCATGTTTGAAATAAATTAAAATACAATTATTATAATCCAGAAGAGCCTGCAATTATAATTCACTAATCTCATTTCTGCCAATAAGTATCCTGCTGCTGTGATGATCCTTTTGATGGGTAAAAAAGGACATTGTTCACATCAGATTCCCATATTCACACCAGATTCCCAACAGGACTTGATCTCTGAGTTGACTGAGCCAAAAATGAAGAGTGAGAGACTGATTTATGAAATTAGATCATATAGATATGCAGTTGTTTTATCTTTATGTGTGCATTGGCACGTAGATATTTACACAACTTAAGTCCCTTTCTAAAAAGAAGCATTAAGATGAAACTCAGGATGTAAGAAAACGTTGACAGCAGCAAGTGATGCAACGTACTCGTTCTTTTTTACATCCCTGTCAACAAGGGGGCACAAATCTCAGTGAGAAAACAATGGACCACGATGTCCCTGCCAGCAGACAAGCTGGGACTCCATTTGCGAGGAGGATTCATCTACCCTACTCAGCAACCAGCGAACACCACAGTGGCAAGGTACGCTTCGAAACGGAATGCTGTTAAGGGGTTTGCTTTCGAGAGGGGGCTAAGGACTTTCAGGTTACAAACCAGCAGCAGCCCATTGCATTTAGGATTTTCACCTTGAAATATGGGAATCCCTTTG